CCCCCCCCCCCCAGCTCTGCGGTGAGGATGGGGGAGCAGGGGGAACCCTCTGGAGCAGGGATGCTCTGGAGTACTGGTGGCACTGGGAGACGAACGGTGCTGGGACAGCAAACAGCACCAGCTCAGCAACAGGGGGGGGGGTTTTGCTGGTGGCCCCTTCTTCTCATCCCTGTGTCCCTGGTGTCCCCCCCACCCTGCTGTGCTGGCCCCCAGGGCAAGCAGGATCAGGGAGTGGAGGCAGCTGATGGATCAGCCTGGCCAAAAGCAGAGCAGCCAAATGGGTTTTGGCTCATCAGCTCCCAAACTGGTTTACCCACCAGACAGACGCTGGGACAGACAGGAATGTGCCCCTGGGCTTTGGGCAGGATCAGACCCTCGCAGCCTGGGGCAACGGGGAGGAGGAGGCTGATGCAGAGGCTGCAAGGAGCAGCATCCACAGGGAAAGGCTTCCCTTGGCACCTTCTCCAACATCCATCATTCCTTGTTTCTCTGCCAAGCTCGGATCACTGGGATTAAACTTCCTTCTCTGTGCAGGGAGAGCTGGAGCAGGGACACCCTCCTTACAGCCCTGCTGGCTCTGCCCTGCACAAAGAAGGGTTTAAAAAGCTGAGGGTGGCCTGAAGGGTGCAGGGAGGGCTGGCATGGGAGCCTTCTCTTCCAGCCATCCTTGGAAAAGCTGCTGTGGATGCCCTGGTGACAGCCCTGGGGCTGCAGCACCTTCTGCCCAAGCTGCCACTTTTGGGGGTGGCCCAAGGTCCCCTGTCCTTGGCACCCTCCTTGGCCATGGGCAGGGGGTGTGAGATGAGGAGTGGGGTGGGCAGGGTTCTCCAGCTATCCAGGATGGATCTTCCCTCCCTGGAGATGCCTGGTCACTCCCAGAGCCCTGGCAAAGCCAAGTGATGCCCCGAGGGAAGTGGTTTCACACCCTTCCCACGTGGCAGGCGGGGAGCTGGCTCCTGCCTGGCCCTGAGCTGCTGCCTTCATTTCATGTCCCCTTGTTCCTGCTCCAGCAGGAAGCAGGAAGGGTTGGTCACCCCCTCCAGCAGGTAGGACTGATGGGTGTTCTACAGACTTGCTTTTGGACTGGATGCTCTGCTTGGTTTGACCCCAGCAGCTTCCCAGGGCTGGCCTGGTGCTCACTGCCGTGCTCCCTGCTGAGACCCTCAGCACTGCCTCCCACCTCCCTCCAACCTGAGTTTCACAGGGGAATTTGGCCAGATTTGGGAATTTCTTCCACTTTACCACATCATTGCAAAGAGCAGGGAGGGGCAAGAGGACGAGCAGAGCAGGCGGAGAGGCTGGTGTGGGTCACCAGCACAAGCAACAAGCCCCATTTCTGATCATTTACCCCAGCCAGGGTCTCTTGAGAGCAGGGAAGATGTTTTCTCTTCTCAGCAAGGCTCCAGGCAGGCGAGAATAAGCCGTTTCCTTGCAACAGTCGCCTCTGTGTGGAGCCACTCCCAAAGCCCCACACGCTGCAGGGTGTGAGACCCATGCCCGGGCAGAAATTCCACCTCCCTCTGCAGGGTTGCACAACCAGCCACTGCAAAGAGGTGGTGGTAGCTTTTCCACCTTCCCCTGAAGCACCAGTCACCTTCCAGCTCGGAAATATTCAGATACTACAGAGATAGGCTGTAATGAACTGTAATAACACACATAAAATGCCACAACCTGTCATTCCGTCACCTTTAAATAACAAGGCTCCTTTCCCTTCCAACCCACAGGAGCACTCGGGCATGGCAATGAAAATACTTCCCAGGTGAATGGTTGTCACGTAGGAAGAGGGGGGGTTGGGAGCCCTCTTCCTGGGACAGCACCCAGCAAGGCAGCAGGCAGCATCCTGGGGTGCTGGGGGTGCAGACACTGCCTGGGACCCCCCCCCCCAGGAGCTGCAGGGTTCACAAGGCAGAATCATGGAATGGTTTGGGTTGGAAGGGACCTTAGAGATCATTTTGTTCCAACCCCCGTGCATGGGCAGGGACACCTCCCACCAGCCCAGGCTGCTCCAAGTCCCATCCAACCTGCCCTTCAACACTGCCAGGGATGGGGCAGCCACGGCTTCCCTGGGCAACCTGGCCCAGGCTCTCACCACCCTCACACCAAACAATTTCCTCCTCACGTCTCACCTCAATCTCCCTCTTCCAGTTTTAATCCCTTCCCCCTTGTCCTCTCCCTCCCTGCCCTTGTCCCAAGTCCCTCCCCAGCTTTCCTGGAGCCCCTTCAGGCACTGGAAGGTGCTCTAAGGTCTCCCTGGAGCCTTCTCTTCTCCAGGCTGAACACCCCAACTCTCCCAGCCTGTATCATCACCCAGCTCCGTTTCTGCAAGAGATGCAGGGTGACCCATGGACACCTCCCAGGCTGTCACGTTATCCCTGCACCAACACATCTCCTGTGAGAGCCAAGGTTGGGGGTCCCAGCAGCTACTGGAGGCCCCTGCTACCATCAGGCACAGGTATCCAGAGCAGGACCCCACTTCGGGGTGCAAGGAGAGGGCTGTGGGGTGCCACACCAGGAGGGAGAGCTGCTGGGGCCTCCCTGGGAAGGGAGAACAAGCACAATGACATCGAGTTCCATCAGAACAGCACTTACAAAAATAATTTTAATGTCTGAAGGTTTAGGATACACCATCTGTTTATTCCACAGCAGGATCCCACAGCCTGAGTTAGCACAGAGGGTGGGCAGGGCACGTGGCCCCCTTTGCCCAAACCCAAAGCTGGGGCTGGAACCTGCTCAGGCAGTGTCACAGCAGTGTCCCCAGGAGCCCCAAACTGACAGATCCATCCAGTACATTCTTCAGTTGAAGCTCCACAAGGAGAAAAAGGCACCAACCTTTTGCCTCCCTGAATCCTACCCCCCCTTCCAAACCTTCTTTCCCCTTAGCAATTGCTGCCTCCTCAGCTCAGGAGCCTCATCACTCAAGCACAGCAGCAGCCAATCCCAAATTCTTCATTGGTTCCCCCTGTAGAGCCTGGAAAAAACAGCCCAAAAGGAGTTGCTGGGAGCAAACATCCTCCTGGTGTTTTCCCCACGAGGAAGACAAGGCTTTCAGAAACACCCTCAGGTGCCACCATCCATGGACACATTGTGTGGATCACAAACTCAACAGGCAGAAGCTTTCCCCAGTCACCAGGACATGCCCCTGACAAGGCAGGGACAGGTGAGTTAAAGTGCATGGTGGCACCTGGGCAGAGCAGAAGCTGGAGACACCTTAAGAGTAATGGTACTGAAAATGCAGGAAGAAAACAAATCCCACTGAGCTCAGGGGTGGGTTTGGGCTTTTCCCACCCAGACACTGGCCTGTGGAACTTTGACACTGGAAGCTGTTTGGGAAGCAATCCTGAAAAATGTAGCTTCATGCTTTTGCTTGATGGGGTAACCTAAGGATGTCAAGTGCCATCCAAAGGAAGGACCCTGCTGCCTCCAAGGCAACTCTAAGCACAGTCCCATTGAGTCTTTTCTTTCCTTCAGAGCTCACTGCTGTTCATGGGTTCTATTTCTGCCTTAAAATGTGCAAAACAACTATTCTGCTTACTCTGATCCCCTGTCAGGAGGCACCTGGAAAGACATGATGTAGCTGGAGCAAGTTGGGCTCTGCCAGGCAAGTGCTTTCCCAAGGAGCTTTTGAACATCTCATCCCAACTGTGACTTGCCAATATCCACACACCTTTCTGCAAGAGAGAGCAGTTTTATCTGGTCTGGCATCCATTGCCAGCAATGGACACAAGGAGTTTGGTCAGATCAGTCTGAAAGCCACCTGGGAAGTGTAGGAAGACTGGAAGCACTGGTAAACCTCCCTGCGAGCACGTGGCCAGGACATCCCACGGCACCTCCTCCAGACGCCTGTGGAGCATTCCACAGTGGCTTGGGAATTCCAGATGAAACGTCATCCCTTCTTGTCAGCAGGGGTTCAGAAGGTGCTCTCCAGCAGGCAGTGGCACCCACAGCCCGTGGGACAGACCTCCTGGGTCCGAAACCACTCCATCATGTGGCTGGTGTGGCCCCCGTGGCCGCAGGTCAGGCAGAAGTTGGAGGAGCCCCGCACGGCCACGTGGCAGATGGCACACTGGAAGGTGAAGCCCTTGCAGATGGCACACTGGGTGCCACGCACCTCGCTGCGACAGTGGCTGCAGTACACCCCAAACTCTGGGGGAAAGGGAGGGGGAGAAAAGGGGAGGAAGGCAGTTAGGGCTTGGCAGGGTGGTGGGCAAAGCAGCCCAGCGCGCGGCTCCCGCCTTGTTCAAGCGGTGAGTCTTGTGAACCCAGATGTGCCTCAAATCTCCCTGCAGGCCAAGAGAATGGGATCCTAGAGGTCTCAGTTTGGTCTCCACGTGGGAGCAGACAAGGGTAGTTGGTGGGTTGGGGCACAGGCTGGCTCACCCTTCCCCCTGATGGCTGCACAGCTGTTGGCTGGGGATGTGAGTCAGGCTCCCAGCTCCAGACACGATGGAGGTGAAGGTTTCCTGCTGGTCTCATCTGCCTCACATCACTGAGGGTACCAGAGCCAAGCAGAACAGCCTTGGCTTCTCATGAGAGGGCACAGAGCACACCTGATGTGTGCAGCATCAGTGCTGTCTGGCACTGTTGGCCATGGAGGGGCAATGGCAGGCATCAAAGTCACCCGTTTCCCCTCCAGTTACTCCCCAGGTGAGAAGGTGAGAACTGCTGCTCCTCCAGCAGCCCTCACCTGCTGCTCTCCTCCCAGCTTCTGTGCACCTTTTCCCAGAGGCCTAGGAAGGAGCCCTTGTGGCAGCTGTCCTTAAGGAGCACTCCTGGGCTCCTGCAGTGCTGAAAAGATTTTGGGAGAATTCACACATGCTTTAAGGTCACTTCAGCCCTGAATCAGAGAGGACAGGGCACGTCTGGGCTCTTATTCATAGTGTCCCAGACTGGTTTGGATTGGAAGGGACCTTAAAGATCATCTAGATCCACCCCCCTGCATGGGCAGGGACACCTCCCACCAGCCCAGGCTGCTCCAAGCCCCATCCAACCTGCCCTTCAACACTGCCAGGGATGGGGCAGCTCACACAGTCTCACCAAATCTCAGCCAACTCCAGATTTGGGTGGAATGATGGATTTTGTGTCCTGGTGGTTCAGAGCCCTGGGAGACCCGGGGTGTGGGTGGGAGCAGGAAGGGTGGCTGCTCTGCCCTGGGTGGTGGGTAAAAGAGACTAATTAAAGGCAAAGGATCAATTAAGAAATGAAACAGAAGCTAAAATAAGTCATAGAATGAAATGGGAACAGAAGGGAAAGAAAAGAACAAGTAGAGTGAAAAGTGGGAAAAAAAATGGAAATGGGATAAAAAGGAATGGAAAAGAAAGTGAAGAAAATAGTGCAAAATAAAATAGTAAAATGATAAAAATTAAGAGAAAATAAAGTAATTCAAAGGAAAATACTAAAAAAATGGATTAAATTAAATTAAAATAAAAATATAATATAAAGTAATGAAAGATAATAAAAATTAAGTAAAAGAAAGTAAAGGAAAACAAAGTAAAATAAAATAAGAATGAAATAAAATGCTAAAAATTTAAAATAAATGAAAAGAATGTAGGCCAGTACAAAAGAAGAGAATAAAAATAAAATAATGGAAATTCAAAGTAAAGGAATAGGGAATAAAATATAATAGTGGAAAGTGAAAGAATAAAAAATTAAAATAAAAGATGATAAAGTAAAATAAGATAAAATGAGTTAAAATAAGATCAGTTAAAATAAGTTAAAATAAATAAAATAAGACAAGATAAACCAATTAAAATAAAATAAAATAAAATAAAAAAAATAAAATAAAATAAAACAAAACAAAATAAAATAAAATAAAATAATCTTACAGGGATGTGCAGTGAGAAAGCCTAATGGTTACTGAAAAAGCCCATATATATAAAGGCCAGTAGTCTAATGGTAAGCAATATCTAGTACAGTTATGTGACAATGCTAGAGATAGCAAACAAGGCACTAGTAATACTTATTATCAGAGGAACAGTTACAGCACTAGCAGTTGTGGGTGAATGTGAAATCTCTGTAAAAAAAGCCTGTACCTCTAGCACACTGCTTTGGCAACAAAAGCAAACGAGACACTGAGCTACCAAACTGCTGCATAAAGAAGGAAGATGAAGGAAGTCAGGCGTGTCACTTTAAACTTCAGACAGCCACAAAATACATCATCTTTTCTAAACCTATGTCTAGGCAAGCACGAGCAGATAGAGCTTGTGGCAATGGTTTTGTGAGATATTCAGATACCACAGTGGTGGCTGCCACAGACATATGCATGCTTAGACAGTATTTCATAAGATGGTTGCCACTGGGAAACTCTCTTTCCATTTTCATGTGAGTGGGACTGGACCAAGGGATGTCATGCAGTGGGACAGAGTGCTTGTCAGAATTGGAGACCACTAAAGGACCAGAAAAGGAAACAAATCCTGGTTTCCCTATTTCTTGGCTAGTTCACCCACAGGTACAGATCTTGGAATTTCACACATGCTTTAAGGTCACTTCAGCCCTGAATCAGAGAGGACAGGGCACGTCTGGGCTCTTATTCATAGTGTCCCAGACTGGTTTGGATTGGAAGGGACCTTAAAGATCATCTAGATCCACCCCCCTGCATGGGCAGGGACACCTCCCACCAGCCCAGGCTGCTCCAAGCCCCATCCAACCTGCCCTTCAACACTGCCAGGGATGGGGCAGCCACAGCTTCCCTGGGCAACCTGGGCCAGGCTCTCACCACCCTCACACTGAATAAATTCTTTCTGTTCAGAGGGAATCAAGAACAGCCACCAGCACAAACAACTGGAGATGTTACAAATCTACACAACCCTTGAATCAACATCTTCGAGCCTCACCTCCACCCAGAGCTGAGAAGGCAAAAGTCTGTGTTGGCAGAGCCAATCTCTGGGCAGCCTGATGGACACTTTCCTCCCACCTGCTCCCTGCACATTCCTAAGCTCCAGAGGCAGCTCCTGCTGGAGCAGACACTCACCAATTCCTTTGTGGGGATCAGGAGGACAAGAGACAAACTTGAGCACCTCAGCCCTCTTCTCTCGCAGGCCCCAGCGATACAGGATCTCCCCATAGCACTTCTTAAAGTCATCAAATTGCTGAGTGTTGGCAGGATCCAGGAGCCTGGAGGAACAAACAGGGTTGACACTCACCTGATGGACTTTGAAGACATTCTGGTTGCAATACTCATCCCAGCCATGGCTACGCAACCAGCTCAGGTTGCTAGGAGGGCAGATGAATTCCCAAGTCTTGCTGAAACCTCGTGGAATGCTAACGGGTCTGGCCTTCACCTGTTCTACACTCAAGGGTGCAGACTTCACAGATGGGATTGCCCTCCAGGACCCCCCCCATGCCCACCTACAGATGTATCACAGGCAACCCCAGCAGAGTTGAGCTGCAGTTTAAAGCTTCTCCAAATGAGTACCTGAAGGAAAAGGCCTAGGAGCAGGTGTGGTCCTTCACAGCAGCCACTCTGGGTGCTCACTGGAGCCAGAGACCTGGCCAGAGAGTTCCAGCTGCCTTGGGCACAGAGCTACCTTGGGCACATCCCTGAATGTCCCCAAGATGTGCCCTAACCTACCTTTTGTTCTTCTCGTGCTGGTCTTTCTCCCGCTCCCGGGGATCGGGATACGTCAGGTTTCCGTAGCGAAAGTCATCTGGAGAAGACTCACACCAGGGAGTGGAGACCTGCTCCGTGTCCTTGTTGGCTGCAAGGATCACAAGGTTGTGAGCACACCTGAGGAACCACACAGCACCCAGCAGCACAACCCCCCCAGCACTGGGGTGGGGAAGGAAGACACGAAGCCCACACACACGCAGACACCCCGGTTTGCTCTCCAAGGGTGGCCAGGTCACCTTCTGCTGTCCTACAAACACTGCCCTGGCCTCAGTGCCAGCCTCTGCTTGCCAAGTTGGGAACAGGGATCATCAGGCTGAGAAATCTATCATGGAGGGAGATCCCTTTTGCCTTCCTCTTTCGAGGAACCAGGCAATCAATCCCATGGGGGTTGCTTGGGGACATCAGCCCTGGCAGGATGGGATCCTCCTTCCTAGACAGGGAGGACTCATCTGGTATGTAAAGGGGCCTCTGTAGGTCAGGCTTTGCCCTGGGGCAGGGAGAAGATTGTTTACAACAACTACCAGACGACATCAGCTCCATTAACCCCCTCCCAGATGCTTTGAAACCACAAAGAGAAACTCCAGGCTTTGGAGCCAACAGGGCTGATGCTGCCCCAGGCCATTCCTATCACCAGGAATCAGTCAACAGCTTCAACTCTGACAGCTGAGCCCTTTGGAGTGACTTGTCTTTGACACCTTGGCAGCTTAGCAGAAAAGCCCTTAGGCCCACGGGTACTGGTGGTACTGGGAACCCAGCCTGCTGGGTTTCCAGTGACAGGAGGAAGCACAGCATTGCTTTTTCCCCCAGGACCCTGTGGAATCAGCTGGCTGGGGACACTTGGAGGCCACTCTCCGTCACTCACTGATCCTGGGGATGGGCAGAAGTGCCCGAGGACTGCAGGAAAGCAGATGTCATCCCTGTCTGCAAAAAGGACAAGGAGAAGGGCCCAGGGAACTACAGGCCAGTCAGCCTGACCTCAAACCCCGGGAATGTGATGGACCAGTTCATCCTGGGAACCATGTCCAGGCAGATGAAGGACAGGGGAATGAGCAGGCATGGATAATGGTCTCCAAGTGTGCCAAGCACCAGGGCTGTGGGGAGCTCATGGCTCCAGGGGCAGCCTCCCTGGGTGCTCACTGAAGCCAGACTGGGAGCAAAACAGCACAAACTGCTCTGGCTCTGTACTTGTCTCCAGCTGGAAAAGAAAGCAGCAGGAGCTCTTGGCTCAGGGACCTAGCTTGGTATGCCTGAGGGTGTTTGTGGCAGTTCCTCCAAAGCCTGGTTGGACGACAAACTATGGAAATCAGAAGGGGCAGGACTGTGGGAACAAGGACAAGGTTCCTGCAAGCCCTGCTCACTTCCAGTTTAGCCCAGCCCTGGAAAGCTGCTCCAGAAGAGCCCACCTGCAGCCACAGCCAGTACTAACCCCCCTCCGTCCCCACCACTGGAGACATCTGAAGCCCAGGTCAGGGTTTAGGCTGGGAGGGAGGGAGAGGAAGACTCCTATTCACTACCCAGGTCTCAGTACCTATATTCCAGCCTCCAGTGCCAAGTCCAGGGTCTGACATGCTGGAACAGGAGCCAGAGGAAGTAAAGCTGGGCTGTTGAGGGGGAAAGGAGAGGACATCATGTCATCTACGTGAGAGATGGTCAAAGAGATCCAAGCCAAGTGGAAAGTACACGTTGTGTGATCGTACATAGCGACTGTGGGAGGCCAGGTTGGAGGCACGTTGAGGAAAGGAACCATAGGAGTTTGGGCACCCCTGGAGCCTGGACTGGGCTTCAAAGACACTGCAGAGCATGGCCAGGGTCTGCACATCGTGGAGCTGGGAGTAATGAGCCAGCCTGGGAAAGAAGAAGGACAGACAGGATGAGAGGATTCAGTGACAAAAGCATCGAGACTCCAGGGCAACTCACTTTGAGCCCATGGCATCAATCAGTTGGAGTCACACAAGTGCTGACAGGGGGCACCAGCACCCTGCAGGACTGGGTGGTCTTTTCTGGACACCTTTGAGGGGTCAGGTCCTCCTTCTGAAAACACCCATGGCCTAACAGGTGGGAGAAAGATGGGAGCTCTGGGAACACAACAGTGCTCATGGCCTGATGTTTGTGCAGCTTCAGGAACAAGGTCCACAGGGGTAGAGCCATTAGGGTCACCCCCAGCCACCTCATCTTCAACAAAACCCTCTACATCCAAGCATCCCACATCTGGATCACCAGGCAAAACCCCACCACAGGTTTTCTGGAAGACTGTGAAGTTTCTGGATTGCTCTGAAGACACGGAACCTGTCCTCCCTTCCCACAGCTGCAAAATACACCTCCCAAATCCTGCACCTCCAAATGGGTTCTATCAACAGAGAAGGTCTATGACAATGTCCCGTCCTGAACAGCTTCTCTGGCAGGAGGACACCTGCAGCTAACCCTTGGCTTTGAGACCAGTTGAAATGATTTCCCAAGTAATGCTCTAGGGAGACAGGGAATTTGAAGGTGAAAAACCAGCTGCAGCAACACACTCATTTAGAATCCCAGACTGGTTTGGGTTGGAAGGGACCTTAAAGATCATCTAGATCCACCTCCCCCTGCATGGGCAGGGACACCTCCCACTAGACCAGGTTGCTCCAAGCCTCATCCCCTTGAATTTAGGAGGTAGGGAGCAGACATCCCACATCTCCCAGTCAGGCAATCTGAGCTCTGGCTGCACTTGGCCTGTTGCTCAACCTTAGCCCAAGAAGATGTGGCTGACAGGTGGGAGGCCAAATGCTGCCTCCTGCATGTCCTCCACACACCTGCACCTTCCCTTCTTGAAGCATCCCAGTCTTGAGAAGGGGATGAAAACAACAAAAAAGAAGGCTGTGGCACTATTCCAAGTCTGAAATGATGCCACACAACACCCATAGTTCTGGAGGCCTCTGCTCCTCCAGCCATTCCCAATCCCTCCCAGGCATCCCAGGTACCTACAAGGACTCCAGTAATTGACGTCCAAATGGATGTTGTGCCCAAGGTATCTCCAAATCTGGGTCAGACTTTGGGCCAAGGCAGAGATCAGTAGCTACCATGGCCAGTGACCAAACCTGGCAGACAGGAAAGAAAACCACCAAGACAACTATTAGAAATAACCACCCTCCCAGGGCATAGGTGTGCACAAATTCACCCAGACAGATAATGATGGAGCTGCATTTATTTATTTATTTTATTTCCTGGCAGCAGGAAACAGTTTCAACCTCTGTCACAAATAATAGAGAGTAACACAAACCCAAAGCTCTCCCTGTCCCACTTGCTTTCAACTTTGAAGAACACCACTCCAGAGTCAGACCTGTCAGAGCAGCTTCACAGACCTCTTGGTGCATTTTAGACTCACAAACCTCCAAAGGGTTTGATACAAGTTTGATAAGTTCTTGGGTTCAGAGATGGCTGGTGGTAGAAAGGTTACTGGTGAATCATTATTTGCATAGATATGATCTTTTGATTATCTGTCTTACTGAAGATTTCTGTCCTAACACAGCACAACACAGGCAGGAGTAAAATTTGCCACTTCTAATCCAACATTTCACATGAAATTTCTCCTCTGTTTTTCATTCTCTACTCTGGAAATGGTTCCATCTTTTCAGTCTCTCTATCACTGATCTAGGACTGTTTATTCTGCCATGCTTTTGAAAATGGGGCAATAAGAACATTCCAGGGTAAAGGAAAGTTCCTAGTTTGGCATGTAAAAAAGAGCAGGAAAGGAAAAGGAGGACAGGGATGGGAAGCAGAAACCAAGAGTGCTGGCAGCAAGAAGTAAAACCAAAGTATGTTCTCCAAGCACAAAGAACAGCCAGGAACAGCAGACCCACAACTGCTCACTGTGAGACCAGACAGCATCACAGAATGGTTTGGAAAGGACCTCAAAGATCATCTAATTCCAACCCCCTGCATGGGCAGGGACACCTCCCACCAGCCCAGGCTGCTCCAAGCCCCATCCAACCTGCCCTTCAACACTGCCAGGGATGGGGCAGCCACAGCTTCCCTGGGCAACCTGGTTCCAGTGTTGAGAAAACAGGAGATAAACTGGAACAGGGGCAGGAGAGGACAGAAAGGAAGTGGGAAAGATGCCACTTCCTACACTGCTGAGGAGCACGTCCAACATGGAACCTGCAGGGCAAACCTGCTGACAACACAGGCTGGAGTTCCATGGGACAAGGGAAAAACAAGTGAGAAACAGAGATATCTCAGAAATCTCACTCAAGTTGCTCCACCCAAGCTGTGGTCCAACGAGGGCAAACCAGACAGTAAGAGGAAGCACTGACAAAGAGGAGTAACATCTACCTTCTCCCTCCTGATCTAGCAGGACCCACCAAGAAGAAAGACAACATCTTGAGCTTGTTTCTGCTTAGATTAGGTAAGTCCATGCATGTTCCTTGCCCTGGTCTGGGAAGAGCCAAATGCCCAGGGGAGGGGCAGAGGCTTCCCTGGCAGTGCCAGCCTGCTCCCCTCTTCCAGGCACTCCTGAACCTTGTCACAAATGTCCTGCCTGTTGTGATGGACTAATCACATGGACAAGGATGAGCCAAAATAGCCATTTTTCCTCACTTCTAGCCAAAGGGAAATGGCCAGGCCTGCTCTAGAGCTGGGTCCCTGGGCTCAGCCTCTTGGAGAGAGGCTGCACTTAACAGATGAATGCCAAAAAACAGGAACAATTCCATAAGACAAAAATCAAAATGCTGATGGCAGCCAGGCACTTTGTGTGCATAGTTACCCCCTGAAAGAGCAGGCTACACTCCTCTGCCTGCAGGAATTCCCTGAAAATATGTGCTTCATGGAGGTTGGCAAAGGACAGAACAATCTGCCTGCAGCCTGGGAAGGAAGCTCTGGATGCCAAGAGTCAACGAGACAGAGACTACACCTGTGGCTGGTCCACAGGCCTCAGTTCCCCAACCAAGGACTCCCTGAACAACTGCAGGACCCAGGTGGTTGTTGGGGTATCCAGGTGACACAGGACAGATGACTTGAGGGCAGCACAGGGTGCTGAGGAATGAGATTCAAAGTTATACCTGCACAAGATCCCTCCGTCCCACAGCCAGGGCTGAGGCAGCATTCTTCTGGCAGGTCTCCTGGATATTATTCACATTCAGTCTAAAAAGAAAGGAGATAGCTCAGCTCTGGTTGGCAACTCACCTGGGAAGGTGAGGAGGGATGAGGGGAATGTGGTTCTGGCAGCAGGGAGCAGCTCAGAACTTCCAGATTACTATGAGGCTGTGAGCAGGGCCAGGATCCCATCCCTTCCTCCCCTGTTATTCAGGGATCATCCTTCTGGCAATTTTCACTATTCACCTTCACAGCACATGAAGTCCAGCTCCAAACTAGCTGGGATTGCTCCTAACATGCACTGCTTCCAAGGAGACAGTGAACTAAATGTGTGCCAGTAACAAGAGATTCTGTTAATATCCAAATTAGTTTGGAAAAATATGTTCCTTGTAAAAAAAAAAAATCAACCAAACAACAAACCACAGAACTTCTCCAGCCTTTCTATCAAAGCAGAACTTGCTGTACAGACACTGGCATGTACAACCAGGTCCTCCAAGTGAATGTGGCACTCCAAATGCTTCTGAAATTCTAAAGCTTTATGAACTATAAGATCAGTTCCATGGCAGGGGAGTGTGCATTTATTGGGATTTTTAAACCTACGTAAGAGTTTAACGTGGGGTTTGAGGAATAATTTGTACTGATCACTTCTCTTTTCAGCTGACAAAAAAAACTGAGCCTGCAAGATTAGCAGTGATGATGCTCTGGGTACATCACAAATTCCTCCCATCACACCGTTTGGATTGACAGGAGACAAGTCCCCCCCCTCACACAGGGACACCATAAAAAAGAAGCAAGGCAAGAAGGAAGGAACAAGGTGTGGAACCGAAGATCAGTGCTGGCTGATAGCAGGATTAAAACTCAGCAATGCCAGAGGGCTGCATGCACTCAGGGCAGGATGCCAGCCCATACTCACATGTATTGCTCCCCCAGCACCTTGTGGACAGGCAGCAAGCAGGAAATATCTTGGATAATCACTTTCCCTGCAGCTTTGATGGGCCGGTTGTTGGCATCTGTCCCTTCTCGTTTGCTTTTCCACCTCCTTGATTTCTGCAGGACAAATGACAGTGTGTTAATAAGGAGCAGGAGAGCAGGTTCCTCTGGGCCAGGGAACAAAGCACTAGGGTCAGGAATAATGCAAGCAGCACCCAAACCTGCCTCTCAGAAGGCTTTGGTGTTACCCTAGGAAACACCCAAGACATGCCCAGGAGAACAAGCATCTCCATCTGGAGGAAGTGGAAAGCAGGTCAAGGCAGCAAGGTCAAGGTCAAGGTCAAACTCACTCAAAAATCAGCATTTTGTTGAGTTCTCCTGTGCAAGCCAATAAGAATCAGCATCAGGGTGGGATGCCCATCAAGCCCAGGCAGGTTTTCAGGATGGTTCAATCATTAGAGGGCTGGTCTGGGGACCCTCTGCACACAGACCACCCGCTGACTTCAGCCACCAGCAGCACAGAGATGGGTGGGAGGCAGCTCCTGTTTGCCCTCAGCTTCAGGGCAAGCTGACAGCTCCAGACTGTCTCTTTTGGTCTCTCAGGGTTTGAACCCACCCCTGGTTAGAATCAGGACAGGGCTCCCACCTCCTGCTTTACCAACACCTTCAAACAAACAACTGGCAGGTGATAAAGCAGGGCCCAAGTTTTCCTAGCAAGGCTCCTTAGCTACTTACAGCTGGCTCAGGACATGAGGTGGGGGAGCAGAAGGAGAGGAATGAACACAAGGGGAACACAACCAAGAAGCCAAGATTCCCAAATAACAGCCAAGGAGGCCACCTCAACACCAGGCTGCAGAAAGCCACCTTGGCTGTGTGAAACTCCATGGAGTATTTGGTTGGGATCCTGGCCTCTTCCAGCTCCTCCAGGAGGGTGAGGAGGAGGGATGAGAGGACGTGTGACAGGCAGAAGGCACTGGAGCTCCACGGAAGGAAGCACTGGCTGCTCTGCAGGAGGCTTTGCAATGCTGCTCCCCTGTGGCACTGGTTCTCCCTGACACATGCTGGCCCTGCTCCTAAGCAGAAGTGTCTCCTGGTCCTACAGTCATGGAGAGGGCCTTGAGGGATTTGTGGTGGGGCTTCCTACACTCCCCCCCGAAGGAGAACAGCCCCTTTGGAGGACCCAGCAAAGCAGCCCTGTGCTGATGGCTCTGCAAGGCAAGGAGATCACACAGGCAACATGTTGGTGCTCCTGAAGAGCTGGGCTGCAGGAAGGGCAGGTATTTGCCCAGCTAGCAGGGTCACCTCTACTGTGGATGTCTGGCCAGCTCTGGGGTGGCTGGATGCCAAACTGCCTTTGCCCATGACCATGCAGTCCTGTGAGAACCTGGGCAGGCTTATCACAGAGACAAAATGCCCTTAAAAAAACCCTCAAACAAACAACTAGTCACCTTCAAAAATTCATTCCTCCTTCACTGCCTGCCTGGCCCAAGCTTAGGTCAATACACTGAGGAGGTCTTGCCATGCTGAGCATAAAACCTTGGACACTGGGTGCCCAAGGTCCAGAGGCTTGACAGTAAGGGAAGGTGTTTCTGACTTCATGGAGGTGGAAGGGGGATTTTTCCAGGCATCACCAATTCCCCTGACTTTCCACCACTCCCCAGAGCCAAGAGGAGCAGAGTATGCACACTGCCCAGTACCCAGAGGTGCCAAAAAGCTGGTGCAAACAGGGCTGCCAGCACCCAGAGCTATGGGAAAACTGGCTGACTAGGGCTTAATTCTGTTCCCTGCCACCTCCTCTCAAGTCCTAACCCATCCAAACAGCATTTGCCTGCAGCATTTATCTGCTACATCAGTATGAAGCTGCAGTGGAAGTTGGGTAGAACGTGGTTGGGTGGGAGACCAACCTCCAGTCCATCAGCTCCTAACCAAGGTGCTGCCAGGATCAGCTCTAGCTCTTCTGACCACCCAAGTGTCTTCAAAGCCACCTAAAAGTGCAGCTGAAGGACGTGGGCTGTCTCACAACAAGCTTCCCAAACAACAGTGGCACCTGTGCCTCATTCCCTGGCAGGACAGCCACATGCTGTCTCCTGTGAGCAGCAAGGAGCTGCTGATGCTGCCAAAACCAACACTTGGGAGCCCCAGCACAAGGACATGCCACCAGGGCAAGAGTGTTGGGACTGTCCTGGAAGGGCCACCAGGCTTCTCACCAATATTGTCCTACCAAAACCTGTTTGTGCTGTGTCTGAGCAGGCAGCTGAAGCCAGGCTTGCAGACTCCAACCCACATGCTGCAGGTCTATCTTTTAGAGCTTGGCAGGTCATTTTGGGGAGCAACTTGCCACCTCCCAGGCAGCTACAGAAGTTCCCTCTGATCAAGGCAGGTTGACTGCCCTGTCACTGGGAACAGTTTCAACCTTGTCCTGCCCTCTGACAGAGGAAGCCTCCCAACAGGCATTGCAAAGACCAGAAACATGGACAACACATCACTTTCCACAGGTAAAACCAGTCACTTTTTGGGTTGTTTTTTTTGAGAATGACAACAAATGAGGATGAGAATGGAACAAGAGATCCCATGGATGGTTTCCACTTCTTGCTGTTAGCATATCACCAGACAAATTAAGACACTCAATGCATCAGAACCCCTTGAAAACTTGGACTTGGAACAAAATTGTCCTGTTTTCTTCCTCTTAGCACTGCCAAGAAGGGAAGCCCTAATTCTTTACTGGTGCAGCTCCTGGAGTAGAGTCAGTTGATGGCCACATGCCCTGTCAGTACTACACCCCATGACCTCTATCTCCTGCCCCCTGAGCTGTGACAGAAGAAAACAATAAAGCCACATGTAGAGTCACTGCTAAAAATGTCTGGATTTTTGCAATTCAGGTTTGTCTCAACTACAGCAACAGAGTGTCTGAAAAAAAACTGCAAGCAGAAGTATGGGAACCATCATGAATGAGTCAAAACTCATCACCACTGACAGCAGAAGCTCGACTTTGAAACAAATAATTGCTGGTGTTAATTACAGGAGTAGCTCTCCACCAGGCAGCATTTAAGCACAGGGATTATCAGAGGCAAGGAGAGCTCTAGCTTGGGTCTGCCTGGCCAAGGTCCACCACAAGGTTCCTCTCTCCCTTCTGCTCCACCTCTTCTCCCAGGAGAAGCTCCTGCTCTGGTGTTATGGAAAGGTGTCACCAAGGCTCACAGGCATTAGGGTAGGGCAGAAAACATGTATCTCTTCCTAGGGGCTGGAGCACAGGTCACAGGGGGAGCAGGGAACAACGCTGGGGCTGAAGCAGAAATCAACATGCATGCACCAAGCTGAAGGTCAAAGTCTTCTGCACTGTCCCAACTTCTTTCTGCAGTCTAGAATCCACACTAAGGAGAACTGCACCTACCCAGCTGCTCCTGAGAGTTTGAGGAGAGGAAGAAAGAAAATAGCTACAGTGAGAGCAAATGAAGGCTCATCAGCTCCTCCAAGCACCAGAAGAAACCAGAGCGTTCAGGACAGTCGTGGGGTTGGAGGTGACAGCAGGGAACAGCACTGAGTAGTGACTAGAAAAGCCAGCCTGCACCTGCACTACCATCCCCAAGGCTGTGGTCTGTTGCAATCTGAGGTGACAACGATGGCAGCAAATGGGTGACATGTAGAAACAGACAGCCCAAGAATAAGCCACCGACTGCTTCGTAGCAACCGCCCTCCTCGCTGCGTACTCAGCAGGAGTTCCCAAAGGCTGCCTGCCTGCTCAGGAGGGATGCTGAACACCTGGGTGTGTGTGCCTGGGATCCTGCTAACCCAGGCAGGGCTGCAAGCAGCAGCTTCCCTAAATGTCAAGTGCCTGCCAAAATGCCCCTCTGGCACAAGGCTCTGCAAAAATGTCAGGGTTCGTGGTGTAAACTGGTGTTAGTGGGACGAAGGGAAGGAGGGGACAGATCTGATGCCAAAGATGAAGCTGCAAGAAGGTATTTACAAAATCAGGAGTTAAGACTTGGCCAAAATCAGGTTCAGGTTGCTCCTCTTGTTAGTTTTGAAGTAGTTTTTTTAAATCCCTGCCTCCCTGCAGAAAGCTACACTCCTGTATGCCCAGCAGCTGCCTCCAGATTAACTCCCCCCAGGCAGGTCATGCAGCCCTGCCTGGATTTTCTCTTCAAAATAATCAACATTTACTGTTGCCAGACTCACCCACAGTACCAGGCACCTTCCACAAGGGGGCTAAAAAAATCCGAGGCACTTTTGAATTGAATGCCCCCCTGTAGGGCTATTTCTTTACAGCTTCCACCAATTATCAGCTGGCACCTGCCCTGAAGCACCAGGCACTTCTGAATTGGAGGGTAGGCACTACCTTGAAAAAAATAAGGAATTATTCCTTCTTCCAGGCTTCCTAAGCTCCTGCTTTCCATGAGCTTTGCTGAGCTCTTTGCCCAGAAGGCAGGCACCAGGTCTGCACAAATAACCCACTCCTCTTTGTGCCTGCATCTTCACCTTGAGCACCACTCCCCACTTCAGAGAGGTTGATCAGCCTGTTCCAAAGGTGATCCACAAACACAACCAATTCTTCAAGGCTTGGATGTATCATTTCTAAGGATAAATTAGACAAAATTATAACTTTAGCACTACTTGCTCTTCCCTGCAGGCCAGTGGTAAGGGAATTAAACTGGGGCTCTTTGTGCATCACAATTAACCACACCACGAGCTGGCAAGTTCCTTGCTTGGTTTTCTTTCTTTCAGCCTGTTCCTGATCCAAGACAAAATGTCATTTCTTGCCTCCACTGCTCACATTTCTTCATTAGCTCTTTGCAAAAAGACTCGATGGAGTCAAGTAAATTACTTCTGGTTTCTTTCACCTATTTGCCAGGTATAGTCTCAGAGCTGTTGTAATTAGGAAGGCTTGATCCTATTACACCAAGTTAAATTAGGTGTTACAGGTGTCTATTTTATTCCCTGCTGCCTTGTGAAGAGATAGCATGAAGGACAGCAGCTGTGAAAAAAGTTGTTCACACAGATATTAAGAAAAAGGAACCTGAAGAGATAATATTTAAATTGAAGTGGGGTTTTTCAAACTTTACCTATGCTTGGCAGATGAGGGATGAGCTAGCAATGGCCCAAAGTTACAAAACAGCTTGAGTAATGCTGGTATCATCAAGATGTTCCCAGGAATGATGTTCAGGGGCCTGACTAATGGCAAATGACTAGGAAAGGCAGGTGGGTACCTGCCAGGGGGGCTGGAAGAGCAACCACTCCAACTAAATGAAGGGTGGTGTGACTCCAAGGGCTGGGAGAAGATGGCAAAATTCACAAGTTCTATTTATTGCCCCAGGAAAGAAGACTTGGTGTTGCATTGTGCTGAGAATAGGCAGCTCATTTGCATGAGATGACAGATCATTTGTCAGCAAATCAACCAGTTTCCTCCACAGCTCTTGAGTGACTCTCCCTTTCCAGCAAGGCTTCAGCTTTCTCAGAAATGAGGTGCTCAACTGTCACTCTCATCAGTTGGCTGATGATGCACAGTAATTGTTCAGCTCCCCTGCAGTGCACTCTTGTGTTTTAAAGGTTCATCTTGCCTTACACTTCAAACTACCCTTTGGCATCCTCTCCTGACTCCTGGGCCAGGTCAAACGGGCGTGTTGCGGGGCAGTGTTTGTACCCTGCAAATTAAGTGTCTGCTCCTGTTGGCTCTCACCGAAGGTCCTGTGTGGAGTGCAAGCCCCCCACCTCTCTGCAGGTTACTCAAAGGCAGGCAGGTGGCATTTTATTCTTGGGCCCTTGGGCAGAAGACAGGGATATATCAAGGACAGTGATTAGCACAGCTCACAGTACCGGGAAGTCGTTAATTGCTTGTATGGACCAACGTCGCCGGGCAGAGCGAGGAGACATCTGTGTGTGAAAAGGTTATACCCAGGAGAAGGGAAGAAAGACACCAAGAAAATTAAAGACAGAGGTCAATCAACTGAAATGAAAAGTGCCCTGAACCAGCAGAGTACAAAAAGATACTGTTCCCCAACCAAACAGTTGCAAACCCCCGGTTTCCTCCACACACGATGGTGCTGCACCTTGTTCCCTCTGGCAGGGTGAGGGTTGCTGGGTCTGTGCCCCCCACCAGCCTCCCTGGAACACCTCAACAAACCTCCAATCTGAACCAAGTCTTCCTCCCAGCCTTGGATCACTGCAAGAAGCACTGAACTGCTTCATGGGACCTTGTTCGTGGCATGAATTGACAGGGTAACACCCTGGTGCTCCACACGCCAGGTTCCTACTCTAACCAGTTTTAACTCCTCTTGGTTGAAGAGGAAGACCAAGTGCAAACTGCAGGAAGCTGAAGAAACACTCCTGCTTATTCAGATAGTCCTTTAACATCCTCCAGGACTTTACTCACTGGAACCTGCTGCAACTGTTCATTTTAAATAATAAAAGGCACGTGTCAGGGTGTGGGAGGGGACACAGAGGCCCTGCACCTTGGCAGGGCCACGTGGAACTTGTCATGATGGGTTGAGGGACTCATTCAGGTTGAGTGAGCAATCAAACTCCCTGGCTATGCAGCACAGCTCCAAAGGAGGCTTCCACTACAAACTTGCAGACATTCCACAAAGTACTCAACAAATCATTCTAGCAACAACAAATGGCATTTCTCAAAGCACATGACATGAAAAATAAAAAGAAGTCCCACAATGGCTCTGCAAGACTCAACACCAACAAAAAGGGTTATTTGTGCCACGTGCAATGCATGTTGCATTTCTCTCCAGCTGAGGACAGGCAGGGGGGGCCACCAGCCATGTCTTCAGGCTTCACCTTCCCCCCCTCCTGTGCCCCTCAGTGGTGGGAGAACCCTGCAGGCAAGGAGCCAAGGGGTGAGGCTGGCCCCTCAGGAAGGGAGAGAAGATGATTGCAGCTTTCTGCTGAAGCTTTCTCCACCAGGTTTTACAAAAGAAGGAGAAAAGGGTTAGGTGAAGGATATTCAGTATACTGGAGAAGATCTAGTTGAAAATGTCCCTGCTCACCGTGGGGCGGTTGGATTAGATGACCTCAAAGTTCTCTTCCAACCCAAACTCATCTAGGATTCTATGATAAGCAGCAAAACTAAGCTCAGGCTCCCTTCAAAGTCCTGCTCTCCTGTGGGCAGCCACTGCTGCCAACCTACCCTCCCAGGTGCTGGGAGTCTGAGGGGTCTCTGAGCAGGTGGGTGTCAGGTAAAGCCTGAGGGATGTCCTGAGAGGCAGCAGGTTCCAAGCCCTGCCAAACTCCTCCATGGGAAGCATGCTGTCACCACTCCTGGCCCTCAGGCAAGGCTGACCTGTCCCCAGGTCCCCACTGGCACAATCCTCTAACTGGGGGGAGAAACAGCCATGGCACCTTCCTTGAAAGGGTCATTAAACACTGGCCCAGGCTGCCCAGGGAGGTGGTGGAATCCCCATCCCTGGAGTTTAGAAGCTGTGTAGATGTGGTGCTGAGGGACATGGGTTAGCTCTGGACTTCAGAGTTGGGTTAATGGTTGGACTTGATCTTCAAGGTCTTCTCCAACCAGAACAATTCTGAGATTCTTTGAGAGACTCCAGGTTGGGAATGCCACTGGTGCAGCACAGCTCCAGCTCCTCCTTTCTGCTGACTGCTGCACTTCCCTGGGGTTTTTCTGAGGAGTGAAAATTAAAAAAGGGAGGAAGAAAGGAGGACTGTGCATGTGTGAATAAAAAAGTGAGATTATATATATATAATGTGTGCATCAGTGTGTGTATATATATATACAGACACACACTTAAATGAGCACAGAAAGGCTTAGAGCCAGATTTAGTTTCAATTTGGTTTTCCAAGCAGATCTCTGGAGTTCAGCAAAATCTCCTGCCTTTCTGGGAACATGACATATTGCCTGTCTAGTAAGGGGCAAATTCCATTTGTTTGCCAACAGTGGGTTGCTCCATGGGATTTAAATACCTGCTTCTCCCTGACAAATTCAGTTTGGGGGCTGAAGTTCTATGCCATGAGAGTTTTAAACACACGTCAATTTTTATTTCAATCAAATATAAAATCCAAGCTTCAGAGCAAGGAGTCAACTAGACTCAGAGTCTGGGCTGTTTAAAATCCTCACCATGAAGTGACAAAAATACGTAGCATTCACCTAATAGAGCCTGTGACAACTCCTGTAGAATCAAAAAACCTTTGCTGAAGGGAGATATACAGGGTTTTTTGGGTATTTTTAAAACTGTTTAATCTGCAAGACCATCTGAGCTAGCTCCCTTACACTTCTTCCAACCCAGCATGCCAGGAGTTGGCTTGGCAGGGGCAAGGGGAACACAGGAATTCTCTCTTTCAGCAGCCATGGCTACACACAAGCTTTGTTCTCTTGACATTTTCCCCTCCCTGACAAAAATCTTGTTGCCATCAATACAAGGGCTGGGGAGCCAGGTCACACAAAATCACACCAAGCTGCTTCCACATGTTATTTTTAGCCTTGTCTGTGTCAGAAACAAGCACATTGCAGAGCACAGAGGTAGCTCTTTAAATATCAACTCTCCTGCAAAGACTAGACCAGGCTGCAATTCTTGCACCAGGCAGCACCATTTATTTTGTTTTGTTTTCTCATCAAAAAGAAGTTTGTGTGGGGGGAAAAAAAAATAGAACTGGAATTCCAAAAGTCTCTCTGGAGGAAAAGCTTGCAATGGGGAGAGGTGACCCCATGGGTCATGTCACCTAAGCAGGACAGACCCAGAGGAGTCAGCTGTCATGTCCAGGACTACCAGAAAATTAAGACCTCTTAAGGTGCCCAGGAAGGATGAGAACTCAAGGCTCTGACCTTCCCTCTGCTCCTGGGATAGGAGTTCCCATACTCCACTGCAGCAGAGTGCAGACAACTCCTGGCTTTCCTGGGGGTACCTGGAAGCTCTCTACTGCTGCAGCAGATGTGTGCCCTCAACACAGACTACTCCAGTGCCCTGAATTCTCAGGCTCTCTGGAAGCTTGCCCTATTTTTGCCAGCCACTTCACCCCCTGCTGAAGCATAGAGAACTTGCTTCTGAGCAAGCTGCCCAGCCAGTTGCTCCCACAGCATCTGCTCTGGGCCCTCAGCTGCTTCAGGACTACCCTACAGCCATCCTACAGTTACTAAAGGGTGTTGTTCCTCACCCTCACTATATCCCAGAAGAAAACAATCCCATTCTTCCCCAAAAAGCCTTGCCTGTAAACAGCAACTACAGCAAGACCTACACCTAAACCAGAAGCACGTGGACTGGAAGATCTTTGGAGAATCATGTAGGAGTTATTTTTGTTTCAAACAATCCAAAAGGCCATATGTCCCTGAAAGAGACATCTGTAACACAAAGAACCCAAATATAACCCATAATCCTGGAGGGGTTGTCAGTAAACTGCAGAGAGCCACAACCCTTTGCAGTTACATACATCAGGGAGTGCAGAGAACAGCTGAGTTGCCTCTGTGTACTTACTGGAGACTGCAGCTTCTTAAGGGTGAGATTTTAACCCTATGTAATGCAAAGGGAGACCTTGTAACACACTAAAAAAAGCTGTGATGGTCAGTGTAGAGATCAAAACAAGCAGGTCAAATGCTGGAGAGGATCAGTAAAGACTTGACTAATAGGAGGTAAATCCACGTGACATTTTTACAGAGCTGCCTGTAAGAGGATGCCTTCTTGAGAGGCACATGAAGCTTCTGTTACCAGCAATGCTCACAGCTATGTGACAGGAATACAGGCCCCAAAGGCTGAAGTGTTGGGAAAGGCTTTTTGGCCTGCTACTTACTCTCTCTTTGTAGTAGAAGGAGCTGATGGAGACCTGCTCCTTCTCGCTGCGCGTGGGGCTCCCGCTGTAGAGGCGCAGGTTGCCCGGAGGCTCCGTGCGGATCTTCATGGGGGTGATGAGGCCACTATGGTAGGCTGATAAAGCTGACAGGGACCTAGACACAAGAGAATATCCTTTTCAGGAGCTTAGACTCACCAGATTGCCCTGGAGGCTCACACTGGCATCTCCACCAACCCAAGGTGCTAGCTGTGTTTGAGGCGTGTTGAAAGAAGGAGCCTCTGCTGAGGGCCAGGGATGCCAGGGACCTGTGTGGAGGGCACAGTTAACACTAGAGGTCACTGCTTTCTGAGGGCCAGAAGATCCAGCCCAGGATGTGATGCTCTCCTCCTGCCTTCCCACCCCTCTGAGAGTGGCACTCACCTGGGTGTGGGCTCAGTGGGAGACACTGCCCGGTGCATGGTCATGGGTCTCGTGAAGTACACCAGGTACCCTGAGGAGACAGGACACAGGCCAGGAGAAACAGGTTACCCAGGGAAACCTGGTCAATTCAGGTACAGCCAAAGGGCTGGGTGCTTATCCTCTACCCTGAGAGCTTTGCAAGTGCAAGTAGAAAAACTCACTTCCTCAAACCTACTCCTTACAAACCCATTTAAGAGCAGGTTTCGCCGAGGTGACTTGTCTTAAAAGCCTCAGCTCAAGTGGCTTAGAGATGTCAGAGAAGAGGCAGTAAAGGGAAATGAACAAACACATACTCATGTTTTAACTGTTCACCAGGACTTGACAAGCACTTTGATGCTCCAGAGGTCAGGGAGGTGCAGAGAAAGCACTGCAGCTTGTATGATCCTTCTCTTGGAAAGATAACCCAAACCACTTGAAGTCAACCCCAAAATGCCCTCTCCCAGGCTCTACCCCATTTGTTACAGCACCTCAAGAGTCTTCAGCCACCCACTCTTGCAGGAGTTTCAGGTTTCACTGAGCCTCTTCCATTCAATACTACCCTGGTTTCATTTTCGTGGGAATTTGGTGCTGCCTGGATGAAAAGCAGCTTTCAAAACATGCCCAGTCTGGGGTGCAGTCAGGTCTGGAGGAGGCATGGTTGCATCTGAAACAGCTCAGTGAAGCTCAGCAGCTCTTACTCAGACCTGAACCTGTTTTTTGGAGGATGATTTTTGCACTGTATGCTCTCCTGGAAACCTGGACATGATTGTACCCCCCTCTCCCAGTTAGAAGAATTTTCCTAATGACCTTGGGAAAGCTATCTGGGACAACAGAAAGGGTGCAGAGTGAGAACAAAAACATTAGTAACAAGAATATGGTTTCAACAAGGGGTAAAGATCAAGCCTAAATCACAGTAGTTCTATGAAGACTGAGAGCCAGAATAAATCCAGCAAGTTGGAAAGAACTAGGCAAGGAAAACAGCTATTCCCAGTCTCCTGTAAAGGTCTGTCAATGCCTCTGTCATGCCACAAGCCAAAGGCCATCTCCAACAAGTCCTAGATTTGCAAATCTTTTAATTCTACATGCCAACAGTTGCTAACTACTCCCATTTATACATTTATCACAATGACCAAACCCAGAGGCAAGTGCTCCCCAAGATATGAAAAGGCCCATTCCCCAGGTATCTGCTGAAAACAGATCAGTGACAGAGTTTCTAACCTGCACCACAGAACCTGGCTCCAGAGGTCCGTGGGAAGGGGATGTTAGAGTCCTGGTAGGAGCCATAGGCATTGGAGACCCGGGCAAAGGTGGGCAAAGGGGGGGTCACAGAGTTTGACAGAGCATAGGGATTGCTGGATGTGCTGTCCTCTTGGTTCTGAAACAGAAGTTAGCCAAGGTCACACTCCTGATGCTGCAGGAAGCACCAAGCAGCTCATCTTTGGAGCCAGAGCAGGTCAAGGACAGAGCATGGTTACAGCCCTGGCTGCAAAAGCACTTGCAAGCATATAGAGCTTTGAGGAATGAGCTTCTTTGGCTGCTTGGCCAAAGATTTCTCTCCCACCACAGCCATGTTTGAAACACTGAGCTCACTTGGAGGTGAAGCAGTGAGAAACTCAACAGAAAAATCTCACCTTCAGACTCTGGATATGATTCTCAAGACATGGAGGTGATGTGGGTGAAGGAAATAGGAACACCACAAAACTGTGCAGGATCAAATGGAAATTGGGAGTCTTGAAATGGGGAAGGCAGGTGGTGTGAAATACTGGGGGACCTCAAGCCTACCCATAGAAATTCTGGCAGAAATCTGCATTTATCTGCATAAAGAGCACAGCTTAGGAATTCTCTAAGGCAGCAGTGCCTGGCTTGAGTCATCAGACTTCCACACAACAGAGAAAGTTCCCTCTCTGACAACACCACTGCTGAAAACAAACAGAATTAAGCCTTTCCATGTGAAAAAAAAAAAACCAACCCTGAACAAAACCTTTCTGAAAGGAAACCTGAGGAGGTTTATTGAATTTCTCAAGTGTCTTGAAAAACCCCCACTCTGGTACACTTCACCCACACAGAGATCTGACACTGGGATGCTGAGTAGGTATCAGATCTCTCAGCTAAGGGCAGAGTGTGACTTGGATTTATCATCCCTACAAAACCTCAGCACAAGGCTTCAAAACAACAGACTTTCAAAGCTGTTTGTTTTTTTTTCCCCCCAAGGGATGAAAACAAAGATCCTAGAATAGGACAAGCAGGATCTTGGATTCAAACTGAGAAGGTACCATCAGCCATTGCCTTTCAGATTGAATCCACCATCTCCCTCAGGCCTCTTCTCTCACGGATGAGAACCATGCCCTGGCACCCTGAGATATGCTCAGAGCTGGGAAGCTCCCATGCTCCAAAGCCCAGCTACTCCTGGTGACCTGAAGAGCAGTGAGCAGGAGGAGTTCCCCCAGGCAAACAAACCTTCAGGGCCTGATTTTCAGAAACAAAACACTTCTAATCATCCACTCTCTTGTCTTCAACATGAATCAGAAGGGCTTCCACGAATGGAACAGCCACTCACAGGGGGCTGTTGACACCTCTCATGAGGCTGGATTCTTCACTGCAGAGTCAGGAGTGTGGGATGTGGGGGAAGACAAGAAAAGTAGGGCAGAAAGCCCAAGCAGTTCTCCATACCACAACAGACTCCAGCCAGGAGACCAGCTGACGCAGGCAGGGCTCCAGGCAGCTCTGGTTCCTCTTCACTTTCTGCAGGGAAGTGTCTTTCAGTATCTGGAACACACACAAAATGGCTTCAAATGGCTTCAAACTTGAAGCAAGGGAAGTTTACATCAGACATTTGGATGAAACTCTTCACTCTGAGGGTGGTGAGACCCTGGCCCAGGTTGCCCAGGGAAGCTGTGGCTGCCCCATCCCTGGCAGTGTTGAAGGGCAGGTTGGATGGGGCTTGGAGCAGCCTGGGCTGGTGGGAGGTGTCCCTGCCCATGCAGGGGGTTGGGACTAAATGATCTTTAAGGTCCCTTCCAAGCCAAACCATTCAATGATAAGACAAAACCTTCAACCCCAGGAGCTCCACAGTGTTCACAGTGACCTGGGGGATGTCTTCAGCAAGGGCAGGTGGTTTATTGTGTCAACAATCTAGGCATTGATTGTTTAGAGTGAGTTTAGAAAGACAGGATAAAACTCCCCACACACCTTCAGCAGCTTTGCCTTCATGGACGCCGTGATGGAGGTTGGGTTGATGAACTGGAAGGAGGGTGCAGCATTGTTGGGATACTGGACAGGGAACATCACCAGCATCCTGACCCTGTGGTTGCCACAGTGCACAGACACCGTGCAGCTCCGACTCACTGCATCCATCTGTGAGGAAAAGCAACTGCTCTGCGGTTAGATCTCCAAGGACTTTGCAACTTCCTTTCGTGCAGAGAGGACAATTCCTCTGCACCCCCATAAACGTTGTTTAAACAGGGGAAAAATAAAAGGTTCCCCATAAAGCCTGGATGAGCCAGCCTGCCCACAGCCCCTGCAGAGAGAGGAAAGTCTTTACCTCCACGTTGACATTTCGGATCTGCACATTGATCAGGGAGAACTCCTGCTGCAGTGTCTGAGGCAGCCCCAGCTGGTCTGTTTTCTTTCCCACCAGGGGGTCATTCAGGAAATCTTCTTTTAAGGCTGACAGGAAGATGGAGAACAGGTTAAGACAAGCTATGACAGACAGGTTTTTGGCAAGCAATTGCCAGGAGGCAGGCAAGACAGCAGGCTTTCCTCTGCTCATGTGGAGGTATGAGCTTTACCTGGCAGAGACCTGTGAGCTGGAAGGTCTCAGCTGGTGTTTAGAGGCAGGCTTCTGAGTCTTGCTCTACAGAAAACCAAACCTGTCTGCACACAGGCTTCCCAGGAAGGTCACAGAAGCTGCCAGGACTCTGTGCAGCCTTAAATGGTCCAGCCCTACTCATTTGAGACCCCTTCTCCTCTCTACACAATACTGCCAGAGCCACAAACAGCTGAACAGGAGCCTTTCAGCTCAGTGGGAAAGAACTGCTGCCAAAGCTGTCTCCAGGAGGAGCTCTGATCTTTAGGACTCACACCACACCACTCTTGGCTTTCAGAGAACCCTTCCAAAGCATAATAAGGCTTTGGGAGAGTGAAGAGGGTATTTCTGGCCCCAGTAGAGGCTTAATTTATTTGCAGCAGCAGTTTGCATTTAATGTTGCAAAGCACTCTAGTGCTTTAATGGTCTTTAAAGACTCCAGCTGCCTGGTTCCAACAGTTTCCAGGAGGACAATAACCCCTATAGGCCAGAATCCATTTAAACAACCAAGCCAAGTGCTGCAGGACACAAGGAATTATGGTTAAGACAGCAAACTTGACTGAGTTTCAGAGGAATTGCTCTCTGCTTGTGGTCATGCCTGGCTTTGGCCTCATGTGTCCCCCTCTTAGGGCAGTGACAGCTCCTTCTGAAGGGGGTTTCACTGTGGCCCCACTTCCTAAGACAACCAAATGGATTCTTTAATGATGGTTCCAAGGACACGAGGGAAGCCCTGATCACTCAGCTGCCATTCCCATCCTTGCAGTATCATACTGCACAGACTGTTCCTAGCAAAAATAAATGAGAAGAGATGCAAAAAGCTGCCCTTTCACAGCTGTTGGGCCTGGCTTTGCTGCTGGGACAAATATATCTGCTTTGACTGCTGCCCAGTGGGCTGCTGAGTTTGTAGATGCTTTGCTACTCATTCCAGTTTGCAATTTTTGTGTAGTGCTTGGATATACTTCACTAAGGGCAGCTGGAAAAGGTATTAAAGGAAAACCAGTGACTTTCAGGAAGATAATAACAGCTCACTGAAAACTTATTTCTGAGGTTCCCAACACAGGCAGTGCTCTCCCTTTTTCTGTTCCTCCCATTCCCTTCCAGCTAGTTTCTAATCCCTAAAAGCCCACATATTTGTCTACATTCCTGAAGATCCTCTACAGGCAGCAGCCAGTGAGGAGAGCTGTAAACTGAGGACACAGCTGGTGTGGTGGGCTTTCTGATTTCTCTGCAGACCACTGCTCTTTTCCAAGCTCCCCCCAAGTGCTTTGCTAATATAACATGAACACTTTGTCTGCAGCTGAAATGCAGCTTCAGCCTCCAGGTTGAAACACCCACAGCCCACAACAGCTTTTAGGTCAGAAAAAAGTGAAATCCCTACCCAGGGATTTGCTTATGCATTGATCTTGTGGTCACAGTTATTTGTAGCAAAATCTACCCTGCTACAGAAAAGCCAGTTTCATTCGCTTTAGCCACAAAGGGAAACCTGAACAGCCTGAACCAAGGCCAGACCCACACAGAAACCACACAGGACAGTGAAAGAGTCTCTGCAGTGGAAAAGGAAAGGTCAGGCAGCCAGAATGAGAACACTTCATGCTCTCAGCTCCAGCAAGAGGGCTGTGCTTCCCCACAGATGGGGAGCACCCATAACTGGGGCTTTTTCTATCACATTATAGATCCCTCCTGCAGACAGAGGTGCTGGCACTTTTTAGAAACTTGTTCTGCTGTCATGTAGGAAAGGTGGCAGAGAGGAATTTCACTGGGATTTGGGCAGGAAACTTCCAGTTAGGAAGAGATGCCTTCCCCAACAGACCTCACAGCTGGCTCCTTTATTCAGAGGCCAGGTATTAGACCTGTCCCTCCCTCCAGTTGGGGGATCCACTGCAGCCCTCTGCTACAACACAGGAAGGAACTGTCCATTTCAACCCAAACTGACACAGAGACATGGGAACCCCCAATTCTTCCTCAGTATTAGATACTGATTAGTATTAGAACCTCTAAGACAGCTTTTCCACATGCACACCATCCCCACGGGTCTCAGCTGCTGCAAGCTCTTCTGTTCTGACACTTAACACTCTTCAAACACTAACACCCTGTACATTAAGCCTGGCCAGAGCTTTAACCACACCAGCCCTGCCTCTTCACATCCTCCTCTTCCACAAAGTCAAACCAATGCTTTCCATTAAAGCCTCTGACCCATTCCCATCCACCCATCTGGAACCTGGAAGTCAGAGAGACCATCCTCCCCTCTGCTCTGCCAGCCTTCAGCCACCTCTCCTTAAGACACAAAAACCCACAAGCTGTCTCCATGCTGCTTCTGGTGAATGGAAGGTGATCCTGCCACACATCTCTGTTAGATCCATTCCCACAGTGACCCCAGCAGAAGTGTGTAGGTACCAGGTGTGAGGAGCAGCTTGTGTCAGAGTCCCTTACCCACACACTCACCTGTGGGCTCATGTCTCAGCTTAAACTACTCTAACCTTCTTAAAAGCCTTACTTTTGCCAGCAGGCCAGAACTACAACCCTAAAGACAATTAAATGAGATCAGTGACAAGGAAGAGCTCTGTTTTACAACTAAAATGACATCATTTTGCTAGAGGAGAGAGAACCATGCTGAGAAACCCCCTGTGTTTTCCCTCTTCCCAGGGTCTTTGAAACAGCACCAGTCTGTGCTTTGTCTACAACATCTCCTTTTTATAACAAGATGCATCATCTTCCC